CCTAGACCCTAAACCCTAAACAACTTGCGCCGTGTGGCTCGGAGTCAGGCAGCTCCTGCCCAAGCTTGGCGGAGTCCGGCACGCTGCAGCCCCACCCTCAAGATGCCTTGGAGTGCTTTTGGCGGAGGAGATGGCTGTTCATGGCGTAGGGGCGGAAGGGTAGACTTTGTTTGGGTAGGTGTGCAGGAACTTGACAATGCCACCCATCCATTTCCAATGACTTCAGAGCGTCTTTTTCACTCCGTTGCAATGTTTGTCAAGTTTGTAGGAAAACCTTGCACTGGCACAAGCAAAGCCAATCAAATTCCAACAAAAGCCCATCAGCTCCCGGAAGGCTGGAGATGCGATACTTGTCGCATGTCACTGGCGATGCCATCTTCGCGGCCAAGACCATGAAGTTTTATGTCTCATCCTCGGAAAAGGGCTGTGAGGTGTTGTTGAGTTTGCAGTACGGTGAATGCAGCCTGGTCTGGCCATATTTAGCCCCATGATGCCCCATGTCATGTTCTGCTCTGAGGAGACTGTTCAAGGCTACCAGGCCATTGATGGGCCAGCACCCCAGATGACTTTCTTCCAGAGGTTCCCTTGCATGACCCAGTGTCTGATAATGCATCATGAATACAAATTGGGGCTCATGATGGTCTAGACTTCCTTCAGAGGCTGATATGAAGACTCCCAGGATAATCATATTCCAAAACCTGCATCGTGACCTCCTGTAGCCAGAGACCTAAAACACAAAATTCCAGACTATAGACCCATGTCCCAACGCCCCTATCTTCATCCTCAGGTAGGCAGAAGATGAGACTCAGATCCGTTTTATACCGTTCCATATACTTGCCAGTAGCCGTCGTCCCAGTGTCCTAAGCCTCGATGCCTTATCAAGCCCAAGAAGGTTGTGGCCCAACTGCTTCGAGCGTGGCAGAGGGAAAATCACCATGGGCCCCTCGGCTGCAAGGGGACCTGGCTGAACAGAAAGGAGCACGAGCCAGACCTTGGCAAGTAGGACCGAGTTCGGGATGTATCCATTCTTGAAATGCCTAAGCTCCACACAAGTGCCTCAATCCCAGGCCCAAGAATCCCAGCACCCTCCACGCTGATTTGCGAGTTGTGGCTATGCAGGCGCTGATGGCGACTCGTTCTACGAATATCTGCTGAAGGCTCACAGTGAGGATGCCTTAGGTTCTGGCACATACTCGCTGAAAGCATCTGCCATTGGATATTGGCAGATTTTAATCGAAATCATCATATCATAGCCATGCACAGCGATTGATGTTGACAAAGCAAGGGCCACAATGGCTCCTTTTTCGATCTAAGCCTATGGAACCTGCCCCTTGTTTTAGCAGACAGGAACATGTGCAGCTGTGCGTTGGAAGGCCAACCGTCAAGCCTGAAACCAGGCTTTCTCTTTTCTGTAGCTCTCCTTCACAATTCCGAGGCCCGAGATCTTGAAGCTTACAGCGAAGCAGTTCCAAGAGAGGAAGTACGGCCTATCAATGTCCTCCAAATCTTAGGATACACACCATGAAGCTCTTGTAATAGGGTCCTGGAGTGCCCCGAACTTCCCAAATCCAAGCCCGAAACCTAAACCCATGAGGCCCTGGGTCAGTAGTGCTGGTCCTAAGCGTTCAGCCTGTAGTCTCATGACCTTCCTGTCCTAAACCGCAAGCCTTTTGGGCCCGCGATCACAGTTTTTTTGCAGGTCTGGATCCAAGGTGGCAAGCGGCCGGAGGAAGACTTCCTGAAAGGCAGTTTGGGGTTTAGGGTTTGGATGGTGGTGGGATGATCAGCTAAAGTCAAGTAGTGAGCCATCAGTCACGGTGATGGTGGCAGAGGTGGTGGCGGAGTCGGTGTGACGTAACGGGGCGCAGTAGAATGACAAGGACAGACGTAAGCCTAACTCTAAGTCAATGGCCTGGAGGAATGTACGACAAGGCCGTTGAGGGCATGGAGAAGCACATGGTCAAGAAGGGGGCGGCCCCGCATTTGCATTTAGCTGTTGAGACTGTGGAGTTCATTGCTGGGAGTGTTCAGGGCCCGGGGCTTCGAATCGTTGACTATCTTATGTATCTATGTGTCAATCTGTTCGAAGGAAGATGAATTTGAGTACGTTGTCTGAGTGCCGTATAGCATCTCTAATACAGTACTCATCGCATGTTATCGCAGATGGACCAAAAGCCTCTACTGCCCCCTAGGCCTTGAAGCCTTCAATCGCAAGCCTAAACCGCAAGTCACCCAAAGGATGGGCTCACTTACCTGGGTACAGCCACATGGGACAACCACGGCGTCTCGTACGTGCCGGAGCCGTGCAAATGGGAGTTGTTTGAATTGGGGATAGGAGGATTATGAGGGATTCGGGGTTCCTAGCTGGCAGTATCTAGCAGTCATTTTGAGAAGGACTCACGTTCTCTTTCAGGCTCCCTGCATTGGAGTTTCTCAAGATTGTTAGGGACCGCCTGTCATTCCTTTTCGCGTCTTGGGTCCTGTACCCATGCCCTGTGAAAGCGCCAACATCAGGAATGCCCCTTTCCAGCCTTACCTTTTGGGGGTTTTCGATTTGTGGAAGCTGCTCTTCCGCGTGCTTGTATTAGGCTCTGCTCAACATCGGAGTTCGGAGCCAGTTTGCAGATATGATTCCCCTTGTTCAAGCTTGTTCGCAACTTTGAACCAGTATGTACACAAGTTCAGCAGGAGATGGAGCACCTCACCTGCTTCGTTCCTGGTTGGATTGGTCTCGGAGCGCAACAACTGTCAGAGGATCTTAGGCCGGCCACTTAGGGACGTTTTGGGGGTCAAGGGCTTTGGAATTAGGGCTCAGGGTTGAGGACACCCGATAAAGATCCCCTGAAAAGAGCTGAAGGAATGCAGAAACCCAATAGTCGAAACTTCCGTCTGCATTCCATGTAATGGTGAAGTATGCCCACCCTGCCTTCTGTTGGAGCACAGGCAGCGTCGGATGAAACTGGCGGATGACATTGCGTCTTGGCAACAGTAGGACGCATGGGATGGTCCCAAAAGGAGTCCCTGTTTGTGAATTTCTATAATAAGGCCCTGTTAGATTATAGTTGTTTCCATTTTCTTTT